TTTATGTGTATCTGTGTGAGTAAATGTTCACCACATTCATGCAGGAGGTCAGGAGAGAGTGCTGGATCTCCTGGCACTGGAGCTCACGGGTAGTTGTGAGCTACCATGTAAATTCTGGGAACTAAACCTGGGTGCTAGGCAAGAGCAGTAAGTGCTTAGTAGAAATTACAGTTACACTGAGATCTTGTATCTCACCTCAAGAGTGGTAAGAAATTCAAGCATTTGCTCCATGACTTGGCAAGGGCATGGTGAAGTTGGCAGTTTCCTACACTGGCAAAACTCTAAGGTGGTGCAGTCTCTCAGAAATGAGGGCAGGTTGGCAAATGTATTAGAATTTCAAAAATGCCTTGGCCTGGCAGTTACTCCTCAGAGAGCTTGCTCTAGAGTGTGAGGGTCGGTATAAATGTGGAATGGCTTAAGGGAGGCCTTCCCTGAGCATTGTTTATAAGGCAAAACATTGGAAGCAAATTAAATTTCCATTGTTAGAGGATCAGCCAAACTGATGATAAAGTGACTGGGTAGCTGGCTAGAAAACGAAGAAATAAAAACACGAAGAGCCAGGTACATGTATAGGGCAGAAGACCTATAAACCCAACTCATTCAGGGGTTGAGACAAGAGGATTGATCATAAGTTCAGGACCAGCTTGGAGGACAGAGTAGCAAGGTTGTGTTTCAGAGTGGAAAAAAGAACAAAAGGTGTCTGTTCTGGTGTGCAACTCTCTCTGAGTAGAGAGTTGAGAGACTCAGCAACACCCAACTCTGTGTGCAGAGGGGTTCCAGGTTCTAGCTCTGCATTCTCAGATCCGTAGACTCAAAAGCTGGGGCTTCGGAGACAGCAGATAGTAGCAGGGAGACGTTGAACTTCAGAGGAAAATGAGAAACAGGTTGTACACTTTTTCATAATTTCTTACTTTAAAAACATTGAACCCTTAAAATAAGTTGTACCTTCTAAAAGTTGAAAATACAAACACTAAAGGCTAAGAGAAAGGAGTGTGTGTGTATATGTATGTGTGTGTGTGGCCTGTGTGTGAGAGAAAACAACTCAGTCTTAGGTAAAGCATACTGTCCTCGACATTCTCAGCTTGGGGCAGGGTGGGGCTCTTCCTGAACCAGAATATCCAGCAGGAGTGAGTGCTGTTTCTCCTCTCTTGCACCAGCTGTAGCCTAATTAAACCATACATACGGACTGATGCCAGGGCTGTGGTGCCAAGAAAGCCACACCTGCTTTAGTTCCTGGTGAACATTAACCCATCATTTCATTAGAATTGTATTGCTAAAGACAGACATCACAGTTTTAGCTGATGGCTTGATCACTTCCCTTGTCTGGAACAATAAAAGCCTGGTTTATCTGTTTCCATTTTCTGAATTTGTTAGTGTGCATGTGCACATTCGCTTCAGTCTTTATGACTTCGTATTGTTCCCAGGGGGAAGTTTCAAGTCCTTGATAGAACAAATAAAGTATTTTAGAACCTGTCCCTGAAGTCAACAGGAATTTTTTAAAGAGCAGAGTCTCCAGAGCCAGGGTCCTTTCTGTGGTACTGGGGTTTGAACCTAAGGCCTTGCTCATGGTAATAATGCTTTACCACTGAGCTACATTCCCTTTTAGAAATTTTATTCTGAGACCAGAGTTTACCACATTGCCTTCAAACTTGCATTTCTCCTCCCTCAGCTTCCTGAATAAGAGGTGTGCCTCACCACACCCAGCTCAGAGTCTAGAGTTTACTGATCTCATTGTTGGCCACTGCAGAGTACCTGGGACACAGTAGAATTCTGCTGATTCTTTGTGGAATGGTACCTTAGTTACTTTTCTGTTGCAGTGATAGAACATCATGACCAAGGCCAATTACAGAAGGAAGTGTTTATTTGGGTTCATGCTTCCAGAGGCTTTAGAATCTATTACAGTCTTGTCAGGGAAACATGGCAGCACACAGGCATGGTGGCGGAAGCAGGAAGCAGAGACAGAGGGAGAGAGAGAGAGACAGGGATCAAGAAGGAGGGAGGGAGGGAGAGAGGCCTGACCCTAATGACTTATTTCTAGCAAAGCCTCTTAAACCTCCCAGACAGCACCATCAATTGGGGACCGAGTGTTCAAACATGTAGGCCTATGGGGGACATTTTCATTTAAACCACCACAGTGAAATAAAAGAGAGCCCTAGCCTGCACTGAGTCTTCCAAGCTCCCATGTTCTTTTTTTTATCTTTTCTACTTTTTAAAGAATTTATTTCTGTATTTATTCATTTGTTTCACTTGCAGTAGTCTGCCTACGTGTATGCCTGCCAGTCAGAAGGGGGCATCAGATTTTATTATACATGGTTGTGAGCCAACAGGTGGTTGCTGGGAATTGAACTCAGGACCTCTGGAAGAGCAGCCAGTGCTCTTAACCTCTGAGCCATCTCTCCAGCCCCCATGTTGTTTTTGAAATGGCAGATTAGGAGCACTTTTCTGGAGACAGGCTGACTGGGCTCACACCCTCTGACACTCACTAGGTGTGTCTGTTTCCTTACCTGTGACGAGGAGGTAATAGGGACTGAAAAGTAAAAGATACACTCATGTAGTCCCTGTTTGATAAGAGTCATTTTTTGCTGTTACTAAAGGTGGAATGTATTATGACTGTGTGTCTGTGTCTGTCTGTATGTCACACACACACACGGCATCCATGTGGAGGCCAGAGGACATTGTTGTCAGGTATGTCTTTCCTCTCACCTTTAGGTGGGCTGCAGGGATGGAGCTCATCTTGCCAGGCTTGCCACACACCGTTGGGTGTGAGGCATCTTTACCTGCTGAGCCTTGTGCCCATGGAATAATGTGTTTTTAGTGAGTGGTGGTGATATTCAACAGTAATGGTTACACTCTGTAGCCAGAACTGAGATGTGAGGGTAGCTTGTTTTCAAAGCCTCTTCCTGAGGGACCTTAGCTTAATCAAGCATTATTTACCAACAATGACTGTATTAACAGTGGAAGTTGGCTCTCCTTCCATCATGTGGGTTCAGAGTTTGCCAGTAAGTGCCTTCGCCCACTGAGTCATCTCACTGGTGCTGTTATTGCTCTTTTTATTCATTTTACCATTGGCAAACTTGACGTTTTAACAAATGAACAGTAAATACCAAAATATATGAAAACTAAGAAAAAACCAGGGGCCAATGAGATGGATCATTGAGTAAAGTCACATGCTTCTAAGCCTTATGGCCCAAGTGTGTACATGTATACACACACACACACACACACACACACACACACACACACCATCATCATCATCATCATCACCACCACCACCACCCTCAAAAATATGCTAAAACCAGAAATTGAAACTATAGTTTGGTAATGGCAAAGCCCTTGCTGGACATGTGAAGCCCTGGGTTCAGTCAAACAAAAGAAAGAAAGGCTAGGAAGTCTTAAGCACAGCAATAATGAACATAATATCCCATCTGTGAGCTGCTGGAGTGTTTGGAAGGATCAGTCCTCCACACTGCAGGATCTCCATGACACAGGTAACAGGATATCACAGAGGTGTCCTAGCGAGGCTCCAGTATTGACAGTGTAGCAGAAGCCAGAGGCCTCCAGCCAGCCCAGTGACTCACTGCAATGAACATTTGCAGGTAAAGCTGTGTGGGCAAAAGGGTGTACTGTGGGACACTCCGTGACACTGCAGCTTCCACAGCAAGGTTTTGTTTTGTTTTGTTTTGCCTGTTTTATGGGGGAGGTTGCAAGGATGGAGGCAGATACAGAGGGGTGGGTACATGAGTGGGATTGGGGTGTATGAGGTGAAATTCACAAAGAATCAATAAAAAGTTTTAAAAAAAGAATGAACATAACAAGATGACGCCTGGGTTTAACTAAGAAAAGTGGGGTCTTATGAAAGACTTGTAAATCTGCTCAGTCTATCCACCTAGCATTTATGTTCCCTTACCTTATTAGGCTTAGCAAGGGTGGGAAGATGAGGACACGGAACAGCAAAATTGTTTAAGGCCCATGTGCTGTCCAGGGCATTGCTTATTTGTTTGTTTTTGCTTTTGGGTTAGGGTTGCTCTATGTAGTGCTGGCTGGCCTGGAACTCAGTTGTAGAACAGGCTGGCCTTGAACTCCCAAGTGCCAGGACTAAAGACATGCACTACCTTGCCTGACTGGTATAATTCTCTTCAACCAGGCAGTTTTACAAAACATGATTGTAGCCTTACATGGTGTTGTGAGAAAGAATACAGCGCGATATCTTGAACATTACTACATGCATTTTAAAGTATTATTAATAATGAATCCCAGCACTCAGGAGACAGAGGCAGGTGATATCGGAGTTCAAGTATGTAGAGCCTAGTATGTAGAGACTATGCCAGGATAGCCAGGACTACACAAGAAACCTTGTCTTGAAAAATCAAAATAATCATAATAGTATAATAATAGTCAGGTAGGGATTACTTCATGCATTTGAAAAGATGAGCTTACTAAGTTTGTAGCTGCAGTAAAGAAGATTTGGGAGCTGGAGAGATGGCTAAGTGGTTGGTCAGGAGCACTTGCTCTTCCAAAAGACCCAAGTTCAATTCCCAGCACCCACATGGGACTCACAACCATCTCTAACTCCAGTTCTAGGGAATCTGATGCCCTCTTCTGGCCTCTGTGGACCTCAGACATGTTTGTAGTACATAGAAATATATGGAGGAAAAATACCCATACACGGAATAAATAAATAAGAAAAATTGATACAGGTGTATAGTATTTAAACCATGCCTCCAAAGAGGAATACGATTGTCTTAGGAGGAGAACGGAGGGAGGGTGAAGTGAGCCATGATTCAGGTAAGAGGGAAGGCCTGGGTTCCTGCAGGAACCAGTAGTAAATAGTAATGTAGACATTAGTACTGTACACTGTCTATAAATTAGTTTTTTCTTGTTTCAAATTTTTAGAACTTAAGTATTGATGGGCCCGTTACTATTAATCCAGGTGTAGTTCTTACATAATGTCTTGATTGTGCTGAGAGTCGGATTTATGGGATGTTTTCTTGTGCTTTTAGAGTGACACTCAAGAACGACAGCAGCACCATGACAGGCGGAGACTTGACAATGCTGAGGCGGTATCTAATGGTCGACCCCAGAGTAACTTGCGGCAGGTGGTGGAACAAGATGAGGAAGAAGATGAAGAGCTGACATTGAAATATGGAGCCAAGCATGTCATCATGCTCTTTGTTCCTGTGACCCTCTGCATGGTGGTAGTCGTGGCTACCATCAAGTCAGTGAGCTTCTATACCCGAAAGGATGGGCAGCTGTATGTATAAGTGTTTCTCTAGTCCCGTGTGGCTTTTCCCCATAGCATGTTATCCTCTTGAAGACCTCTGTGCTCTTGGACCATGGTAGACTCCATCTTTTCTGATGGCCAGAGGCAGTGGAGATGATGGTGGTTGATGACTTGATGCTTTAAGTGACGAAAAGAATACTATAGAATCATTCTCAGGATGCAATGTGAGGAGGGCTGAATTTATGTGGAATTAAACAGGTTGTCAGTAGCCTTTCCTGCCTGAGGACCACTGGGACCATCATTCTTCCTCCTGGCATGCTGGAGTGCCCCCCTCCTTCTCTCTCCCTCTCTCTCTCTGTCTCTTTCTTTCTTTAGCTCTAACTTTTATGAATTGAATTATTACTTTTGAACCAGGTGTGGAGGCATGGACCTGTAATCCTAGCACTTGGGAAGTGGCTCATGGGAGTTTAGAGCTCTAGGAACCATGGATGTGGGGGTCCAGCATGTGGTAGTTGAGACACAAGCATGATGTCATATGCCTGTAATCTTAGCATTTGGGGATGGAGGAAGAATAGTCAGGAACTGAAGGCCATTTTCTGCTGTATGCAAATCACAGGCCAACGTGAGCTACACAAGACTTTCTGAAAACAACAAAATTCCTATTGTCCTCATCTCGGCTTGTGTGTTAAATCTTTAAAGATGACTACCTTTATCTTGTATTAGAACTAGAGCCTTCTTAGTATTTCTCATAGCAACCTGTTTTCAGTGTTTCTCGAGGTGGTCTGGAATTCACTGTAGTCTTGGCTAGCTTCAAATTTTTGATCTCCTGCGTCAGCCTCCTGAGTGCTAGGACTACCTATGTGTGTCACCATACCCAGCTTTATGACCCTGTTGTAGGAACTCAAATGATACCTTTATTTTTCTTTCTCCCACAGAGTAGTGCAGGGCTAGGCAGTCCAGGTGGGTACATTAGTCTTTTATTCATGGAGCACATGGACTCCTTTCTTCAGCCTCTGCCCAGGTTCCTTAAAAGCCCAGGCTAGAGTTTCAGCTTTCATTTAACAGCAGGAGGGAGTTGAGAAGGGAACATAGGTATCACTTCATGAGGGCATCACTTCGTGAGGGCACTCCCTTCAGGAACTTCCTTTGTAGCCTGTTCAAAGTTCCTTGGCCATTACGTAGTCTCACAGCCACACCTGCTATAAGGGGTAGAAAGAAAGCTATTGGACTGGAAGCCTTGGAACTTGGAATAACTTTTATATAAATGAAAAACAAGAAGACAACTCCAGTTATAGTCACCTTACAGATAAAAGCTACTGCTTAAACCCTGTCACCTCTAATAATCATTGCTCAGCCTGGGTAGTTTATGTGGCAGAAGCTGGTTATTTAACAGATTCTTATAAGCTATGGAGAAAACACTGGGTGAGATCATTATTTCAGCACAAAGCATCCACTAGATGGAGCCAAGTGCCTGGCTCATCTGTGAGTTCATCTCTCCACAGTCTAGGTGTTTCCTTTTACTTCTGTTTTTCTTAGGTTAAAATTACTAGCTAGAGGGTTGGAGAGATGGCTCAGCAGTTAGGAGGGTGCACCACGTCCTGAGTTTGGTTCGTAACACCCACATCCAGAAGCTCATAACCACTTTAAAATCCAGCTCTGCCCTTCTGTGCACATGCACACACAATTAAAAATAATACTAGTATGTGTATTTTTAAAAAAAAATTATTAGTTAGAGCCAGCGTGGTACAGACCTATAATCCCCACCCTTGGAATGCAGAGACCGGAAAATCACATATTTTCAAGTACAGCCCAGGCTATTGGTGAGCTCCAGGCTAGCTTGGGGTTACTTACTAGATTCTGTCTTTGAAATATTAACCAACCAAATAAAAAATTTTCTAGTTTACTGATTAGCTGCGAAAGGTACTCTCTAAAGCACTTAGTAAACCAAACGCCTCACAATTAATTACAGTTTTAAAGGAGTATATGGTTTGAGATATCCATTAACACTGTTGTGTTTTATATCTTCTCTCCCCCCCTTTAGAATCTATACCCCATTCACAGAAGACACTGAGACTGTGGGCCAAAGAGCCCTGCACTCAATTCTGAACGCTGCCATCATGATCAGTGTCATCGTTGTCATGACCATTCTCCTAGTGGTTCTTTATAAATACAGGTGCTACAAGGTGAGCATGAGATGCAGCTTTGCTTTCTGCCTTGACCTGATATTGTCTTTTCCTTTCTTAAACTTTGGTATCTTGTAAGAGGAAAAGTGTTAGCGTACTTTTTTAAAAACACTTTTATTTGCATTTCTTATATCTTTTTTCTCCCTACTCCACCCCAATCCCTTTCAACACTCCAACACCAGGTAGGAGAGAGAAGGGGTTAGTGGAGAGGGGTGCAGTTCTCTTAGCTGCTTCCTGCCAGTTAGGGTCTTCAGGTTCCTTGGAGCCAGTCCAATCCAATCAGGAGGTCTCCAACTTCCTGTCTCACAACAGCAATCAGGAGCAGCATGGGGGAAGCAGGAGCAGCCTGTTCTTTCTCAGAGCTCACACTCTCTGGGCTCTGGCATTTGTTCTCTCTCCAGAGTCCTCAGATTTAAACCATCTGTAGCTGGCAAGGAACTCCTCTCAGAGCCCATATGAGGCAGATAGTCTGTGTGGACGTGTGAATCAGTCCACATTCCACACCTGGGACCAAAATAAAAACATGTTTATATCCACAACAAGAGAGAGAGAGCACGCACGTGTGCATATGCATGGTATGTGTGGGGAGTGAGGGAAGGAGAAAGAGAAACAGTGTGTCTGTATGGGGGAGAGAGAGAGAGAGAAAGAGAGAGTGTGTGTGTGTGTGTGTGTGTGTGTGTGTGTGTGTGTGTGTGTGTGAAGAAAAAGAGTGTATGTGTGTTGGGGGAGAGAAAGGTGTGTGTGCGCGTGTGCATGAGTGCACCTGCCAGAGTGCATGTATGTATGTAGGCGTGTATGTGCCAAAAATCATGTGCAGTTGAGAGGACAACTTTGTGGAATGGATTTTCTCCTTCCATCCTTACTTGGGTTCTAGATAGTGAGTGTCCAAACCTGCACACTCTTGCATTCACATTCTGAGCTGCCTCACAGCCTTGTTTTATTATGTGCTTGACTTGGTCTAGTAAAGAAGAAAGTGTCTTATATTTTGGGTCTAATTTTTGGTTGTTTTCCTTTCATTCTGGAGCATGTTAAAAGTATCAAGAGACATAAATGGGGAACAAATGCTTTCTTGCAGGATCATGTGGTTTCAATATTTCAATTTAGAGTGTGCCTGGGGCACTACAAAGGCTTTGTGTATATCATCATTGACAAATAGTGCTGTAGGATTTAGGTGTCCCATAAAGCCACCTTCAGATGCTGTGCTGAACTCATTAGTGACTGACCAGCTTGACAACTGCCAGCACCGTTTGTGTGGTCTCTCTTGGAGCAGCACTGCTTCTTGCCTTGGGCACTGGGCACAGGGAGAAGGAACAGCAAATATGCAGCCCCATCCTCCCAGCCTCTCCTCTCTTCTTTCTCTCAGTAAGTGACTGTCTCCTGAATTCTGGCCTCCTAGCACATGCTTCAGACTCAAACCTTAGAAAATCAACCAATTATCACAAGTCATGGGCCTTTAAAGTCATTCTCAGATAATAGGAATAATAATGTAACTCTCCAGATAGTCTGCATTGTTTCCTCCTAGATGTTTCTGTGTGTGTGTGTTTGTTTTTATTGTTGTTGTTTTTTAAGACAGGGTTTCTTTCTGTAGTCCTGGCTGCCTTGGAACTTGCTCTGTAGACCAGGCTGGCCTCAACCTCACAGATACCCACCTGCCTCTGCCTCCTGAGTGCTGGGATTGGAATCATGCTGCACCACTGCCTGGCTGGCTTGTCCTTTTATAACATTTACTTTGGCATAAATGCTTAGGAAATATTCGTGGGTATCTAATATTTGGCTCAGTGAGTATAATTTATGTCTTCTGAGTTTCTCGTGGACATTTAAGTGGTTTCTACTTACTACATATATAGAATTTGTTCAGGTATTTCCTCAGGGTAAAGTCCTATACTTAATTTTTTTTTTCTGGGGCAAAAATTACCTACAAGTTTTTAACTCTTAGTGTGCAAGATTAATTTTTTGTAGTGTTCTGTTTAGGTTTATTTGTTTTGTGTGTGTGAGTACTTTGTTATATTTGTATGTGTCTCAGGAGGTCAGGAGAAGGTGTTGTGGTCCCTACAACTGGAGTTAAAGATGGTTCTCAACCACCATGTGGGTGCTAGGATTTGAACTTGGGACCTATGCAAGAACCCAAGCAGGTTACCTGCTGAGCCATCTGGTTTTCTTTTGAAGATTTATTTGATGTTTGTGTGTACATGTGTGTCTGCCACATGTGTAGTAGGCCAGAGAAGGCCAGAGGTAGAGGAAGGTGAGCTGCCTGCAGTGGAGGCTGGAAAGCAGAGTGCTGAGGACTTGTAACCACTAAGCCATCTCTAGCCCACTGAATTTTTTTTTCAAAAAGATTTTACAGTTTGTATTGAACACCAATAGGGAGTGAGAATATCTGCCTTAACCTGCCTTCATCAGCATTGATTTTTTTTTTTTTAAATACCCTTAACTAAGCCAAATGTGGTGGCACATACGTACCGTTGTTAGAGACAGGAAGATCTTTGTGAGTTTGAGGCCAGCCTGTTCTACATACAAGTTGTAGACTAGACAGGGCCGCATGGTTGAGACCCTGTTCTAAAATAAAATGTGTGTATGTACACACACATGTGCTCAAATGCACACATTTATAGGGTAAAAGTCAGGTGACTGCCAATCAAGATAAACTCCTTTTCAATTCCTACAGCTCTAAGCTCTTGTCTAAGTCGCACTCTAACCTCTGAGTGTGTGGTGGTGTTAACCTGAGATGTAACTATCGTGAGCTGACATTTTATGGAGACCATTGAAGAGGGAAAGTGCCCATAGTGGTGACAGGCCATCCACACTCAGAAACTGAAGCACAGGAGTAAGCCCTCCCCTTCCGTGAATATTCTAGTCTTTTGTTTGGTTGGTTTGGTTTTTCGAGACATGGTTTCTTTGTGCAGACCTGACTGTCTTAGAACTCACTCAGTAGACCAGGCTGCCCCTGAACTCACAGAGATCCTCCTGCCTCTGCCCCTGAAGTGCTGGGATTAAAGATGTGCACCACTACCTGGAGAATATTCTGTTTTTGTTTTTAAGATTAATGTATTTATTATGTATACAGTGTTCTGCCTACACACCAGAAGAGGGCACAAGATCTCAATATAGATGGTTGTGAGCCACCATGTGGTTGCTGGGAATTGAACTCAGGACCTCTGGAAGAACAGTCAGTGCTCTTCACCTCTGAGCCATCTCTCTAGCCCGAATATTCTGTTCTTAAGTGGTTTTCTCTGCCCTTCTCACTGCTGGCTGTGTGTTTGTCTGCATGCCAGTGCTTACCTGCCAGTCCTTTCTTGGCCTTAGTGGACACGTTCTGGAGCTCCACTGGTTACAGAACGGGCTTGTTCTTTTGCTTCCTTTTCAGATTTTATTAGGCAGAATTCTGCCTTCTCCCAGGTTTGTTGTCCCCACTCCCAGAGTTCCTGCTTTTCTTTTTCAAAATTATCTTTGTGCTACATATAGAACATTGTATTTTCTGAGGGTTTTTTTTTTTTCTTCTTCTGATCTTGGAAAATTATTTAGTTTCTGTATTTTTACATTTTCACATGTAGAAAAGAAACCACCATCTGTGAACTACCTCTGCTTCTCTGTTTTAAGTTTTCCACGCACTGATCTATTGATGACACTGTGGTGACTATATAGATTACACGCATCTGCTTTGTTTCACTGACCATCTCATAAGCAGTGTGTATGCAGGCCCCCTGTTTTCCCTGCTTTACAGATGGAGCAGGATAACAGTTGCTGTGAGTCAGTTTTGGAATTTGAGTCCAGATTTTGGCCTTGATTGACTCACAGCCATTATGTAAAAATCCTTCTGAATTAGTACTCAAGTCCTACAAGCCTTGCCTTCTCTTTCTGTGCCTCGTGAAAACCTCTGTGCCTCTGTGCTTGATAGCATTTCCCTGGATATAACTGCTACCTTTTTAGAATTTAATTTTTCTTGCCATTGGCTTGTTAATCTGCTTTCTGGCTTTTGTTACTTTCCTTCTTTGCAGTTTTCCCTAAAGCTCATCAACCAGTCTCAGGCATTGGAGTTTTCCCTCTCCCTTTCGTCTTAGAAAACCATATTTAGGTCTGCAGAAATGGTTCATCAGTGGGAGCACTGGCTGCATTTGCAGAGGATGTGCATTCATTTCCCTGCACCCACATTCTGCCTCCTAATCATCCTTAACTGGTTCCGTGAGATTCAACCACATCTTTGGGCTCCCGGGGCACCAGGCACACATACGGGGCACTTACTGTACACACGTCATGCAGGGGAACATGCAGAAGGTAAAAAGAAATCTTTAAAAGAGAGAATCATTTAATCCCAGGCTTAGTTTTGTACTCTCAGATACAACTTTAAAGCATTTTTAAATTATGCTTATTTAGTGTCTGTATGTGTGTGTATGTATGTAATGTATGTATGTAGGCGTGTATGTGCCATGGATCATATATAGAAGTTAGAGGTCAGTTTGCAAGAGTCAGTTCTGTTCTATCATTTTGTGTGATAGGTTTTTCCCACACACACATCTGCTCACCCCAAAGAGGGAACATGTAACGTGCCAAAGTAATAATTAAGCCAATGTCCAACTTAGCGAAGTGGTGACTTTTTATTGGGATCACCAACAGGGGTATACTGAGGAGCAGGGATGAGTCGAAACCAGCTGTGTCACTGAAAAGGCCACTCCGGCATAGGTGATGATTCTGAAGGCTACCCCCTGGAGCTCCCTGCACAGCCTGTGGGCAGCTCCCCAGACACCTTTCTTTCTTCCCTTGGCCCAGTCAGAATCTCTACCCCAAGCAGTTGTTTGCCCTTTTGTATATTGTTGGAGAGCAGCCCTCAAGAATCATGTAAGTTTCTGTTCTCTCAGATATGTGGCCTTTGATTTATCTTTTGTGGTTCAGCATCTACCTCTTAAAGGGAATGTCTCAAGTGGGGGAAAGTAAATGCTACATGAGAGGATCTAACTCAATTGTCATGCTTGGCAGCAAGTGCCAGCTAAGCTATCTCGCTGTCC